TATTTATTTATTTAACAGAGAGAGAGATATCACAAGTAGGCAGAGAGACAGGCAGAGAGAGAGGGGGAAGCTGGCTCCCTGCTGAGCAGAGAACCTGATGTGGGACTTGATCCCAGGACCCTGAGATCATGACCTGAGCTGAAGGCAGAGGCTTAACCCCAGACAGATCCCTTCTTACATTGATAACCATTGAGACACAAGGAGAGAGAGCCAATTACTGACATGTTTGTCAGTAGTTATCCATCGAGGTCTTGATCTGAGAGTAGGCGATCTGATTTTAGAAGAGAAATACTGGTCACTGGATAGAAATCATCCTAAAAGGATGAACGATTCGCCTAGCCACCGTGGCTTTGCAGACATGTGCTGTGAGTTCGTTTCTTTTGCCCTGAGTCTCTTCTCCCCATGCTATTTTTTGTCTATAATTTGATTTCCTGAGAGAGTGGGCCCAGAAAAACAAAAAACAAAAAACAAAAAACAAACCACAATTAGCCATATTTAAACCTCTCCATGAACCAAGCCCCTGGTGTTTGGGTTTTATTTAGTCTTTCACAAGGTTGGTTATTGGGAGTCGGAGCCCTGAAATGTGATCAACACCAGATGGAATAATTTCTAGGGGTGCCCTGCTGGCTCAGTCCGAAGAGCATTCAACTCTTGATCTCAGTGTTGTGAGGTTGAGCCCCACACTGAGTGTAGAGATAACCAAAGAAAATAAATAAAACTGAAAAAAAAAAAAAAAGACTGGGGCACTTTGGTGGCTCAGTCGGTTAAGTGTCTGCCTTTGGCTCAGGTCATGATTCCAGGGTCCTGGGATTGAGCCCCGCTTCGTGTTCCCTGCTGAGCTGGGAGCCTGCCTCTCTCACTTCTCCCTGCCTGTGCTTGCTCTTGCTATCTCTCTCACTATCTCTGTCTCTTTCTCTCTAATAAATAGATAAAATATGAAAAAAAAAAGCCTGAGATGTGCGTACTATGATTTAGGTTCTCTGTTAAGCACTTTATGTATTTATATAACTTAAAAACAAACACACCCTTATGTAGTTATTATTAGGATATTTTATAAATGAGGAAGCAGAGATTAACCAACGAGCCCAAGATCATGCCTGGGTCATACAGCTCATCAGAGGCCAACTGGGGAGTCACATACAGGTTCATTCACTTCCATTCTGAGTTTCTAGCCGTGAAACTGTAGTACCCCCACAGAGATAAAGATCAAAGTCTGCTTGTGACAGTGAGGATCCACTTGAGTCGTCAGTCGTATTCCTTATCACTGCCATTTATCTATCCACCCATCTGTCCATCCATTCAGTGATCTGTCCAATCAACCAATTATCCATCTGTTACAGTCTGAATGTTTGTGTACCTCCAAAATTCATATGTTGAAATCCTAAACCCTCAAAGTGATAATATTAAGAGATGGGGGGGGGTCTTTGGACGATGATTAGGTCATGAGGGTGGGGTCCTCCTCATGAATGAGATTAATATCCTAGAAGAGGTCAAGGAGAGCTCCCTTGTCCCCTCCTGCCATATGAGTATTCCAAAAGTCTGCAACCTGGAAGAGGGCCATCACCCAGACCATGGGGGGCACCCTGATCTTGTACTCCCAGCCCGCAGAACTGTAAGAAATACATTTCAGTTGTTTTTAAGCCTGTTCTGTTGTTTATAATAGCCAGTCTGTAGCATTTTGTTCTAGCAGGCTGACTGGACCAAGACACCATCCAACCTTCCAAACATCTACCCAATCCTCCATCCATTCATCTAACCATCCATCTAGTCCCAAATAGCATGTGGCCATCCATTCCACAAATGCCAAGGGCTTCTTCTATGCTGATTCTGTGCCAGGAAGAGGCTGAATGCAGGGGTGACTAAGGGACAACAGCACATGTAAAAGTTAGGTTCCCTTTAGACTTGAAACTCCCTGAGGGTAGAATCTCTTGTTTTTATATCTGCAGTACATAAAATAGGATTTGGCTCCTGTCTTCTTTTCCAAACCTGTTTCACCTTCCTATCTTCTTGCTCATTCCGCTTCAACCCAACTAGTGTCTTTCTGTTTCCGGAATAAGCGAAGCCCTCTTTTGCCTCAGGACTTTAGCAATTGCTGTTCCTTTTTTTTTTTTTTTAATTTAAAATTTTTTTTTTATTTTTTTAAAGATTTTATTTATTTATTTGACAGAGATCACAAGTAGGCAGAGAGGCAGGCAGAGAGAGAGAGAGAGGATGAAGCAGGTTCCCTGCTGAGCAGAGAGCCCGATGCGGGGCTCGATCCCAGGACCCTGGGATCATGACCTGAGCTGAAGGCAGAGGCTTTAACCCACTGAGCCACCCAGGCGCCCCTTGCTGTTCCTTTTGACACAAATGTTCGTCCAACAGTGTCAATAACTGGTTCCTTCTTATCCTTTGCATTTTATTTTTTTATTTGACAGAGAGAGAGAGCCAGAGAGCACAAGCCGGGGTGGGGAATGGCAGAAGGAGAAGAAGCAGCAGATGTGGACTCGATCCCAGGACTCTGGAATCATGACCTGAGCCAAAGGCAAATGCTTAACTGACTGAGCCATCCAGACACCCCTATCTTTTGTATTTTAGCTAAAATGTCTTATCCTCAGAGGATAAGACACCTTTTCTGACCACCTTACCTAAAGAAGACACCCTATGCTCCTTTGCTAGCAACAACTGCTTATCACCCCATTCTGTTTATTTCCTTTATGGTATTTGTCACAGTCTGTAATCATCTTATTTATTCATTGCTAGTTTTCTAACTCCCTAATTAGAAAAATAAGCTCTAGGAGGCCAACTACTAAGTTTCTCATGTTCTTTCTGCATGCTTCTGGCCTGGCTAGCCAGTAACTAACTGACACATAGTAGGCCTTCAACATTTATTTGTTGAATAAATGGATGAAAGATGCATGACCAGATCTTTCCAATATTAGTAAGTTTGAAGAATAGTAGAAAACAAATCTGAAAGACAGAGAAGGAACAGAGAAGGCCTTGAAAGACAAGCAGAAGGGGTTATACTTGAAGTGAGCATAGTGACCGGGGAGAGGTTCTTCAGTTCCAGGGTGAAAATGGTGATTTAGAAGGAGGACTTGGTATGCCGCAATTTGCCATAAATCCTTAATTTAAGTGATTAACTGCAGTCTTGCAATAAATTACTGCCAGAGTTAATCAGGGCCCAGGACCCGAACTATATTTTTTTCCTTCTGAGAATTATGTGGGGACTCAGCATGGCTCTAGGATTTTCATAGAACTATATATAATATTTAATTAATTGACTATGGTGAATTATAGAGCAAGTGATCATGGTGAAAGCCCTGTAAGGTGAGATCCATCTCTGTTTACTGCAGGGATCTGGCCTGCAGGAGATAAATTATTTGTTCAATGATTGAGTGAGTGGAATAGTCACACACTTGGCAGAGTTGGATTGGGTAGGATCTGCTGCTAGCTGTGTGACCTCTGAGAAGATCTTTAACCTGGTTAAGGGTCAGTTTTCTCATCTGAAATAGAAGGAGAAGACTTAACTCACAGGATTTTAAAATGAGAGCTTAAGGGAAAATCTTGGACAAAGTGGACACTCAATAATTCAATTTTCTTCCAGTACTTTGGAGTTGCTAAACCTGCAGTGGCTAGGATTCCCTATTGGCTTTTCCCAAGAGCCCCATGGCTTGAAATAATCAGAATATATGGTGATACTTAGTTTTTGCCATTTTCAGTCCTTTCAATGTAAACCTGAAATTCTCTGAAATTTACTAGCTGACAGCGGGCACCCTCTTCGTGCTTCAGTTTCTTTATCTGTAAAATGAGTATAATAATATTACCTGTCTCATAGGAATAGCATAAGGATTAAGGGAGATGCTCTACTAAGGGTTTGTACTAAACCCTCATATAGAGAAGGTGCTCAATAAATGTTAACTATAATTATTTAGAATTTCATTTCTGTTCTTATAATCTCTTCTGGAGAATAGGCTGATTCTGAGGTGTATTCTGAAATAAATGGGTTCAGTAGATTCTTCTGGACATAACAAATCAAGAGACTCAAATTGGGAAGGAAATAGGAGCATCAGGACATTGAAGAGAAAGGCTTTTTGAACCTGTGGCATAAAAGAGGCCAGGAAAGGAAAGGGCTTAAACAAGGAACCAGGTGCGTCCACTTTCCAGTCAATTTGGAGAGCAAACAATATTCATATGCAACTCCAGTGCCTCAGGACTGCTGTCTGGGACGTTCATCAGCTTGATACAGTATGCATGGTGTCCCTCCTCGTTCCATTAGCATTTTCCTACTTTGAAATAAGTAAGTGCATTGTTCCTAGAAAGTGGATAGAAATCAAGGAAAACTCTCTTCGTGTGGGGGCTGGAGTGTCTGTCACGAGGTTATAGAGAATGTCTTGCACATCATTCTATCCCCAGCACTTAGCACAGTGCCTAGCCTAGTAGGCGCTCAAAACAGTGTCGACAATTATTTTCAAACTTTAGTTGGCCTTCTCAAAGAAGGCTGTGGTACCCACACACGGCCGCAAGCAGGTCCGTGCCTAGAAATAACATTTATTCTAAGGGACCTCCGCGCAAGGATTCTTGGGAAGCGGCTCCCCTCCCGCGTTCCCTTGTTACTCCACCCCTCGGTCGCCTTTGAAAGAACTAGCACGCCACATGATTCTCTCCTTTATCCCACCTCTGAAAGCCTGACTGATAATGGGCAAGAGCGTAGACCAACCGTAAAACTTTATTTCCTCTCCCAGCCAATAGAAAGAGGCGATAAGTATATGGCTCCGCTTTTGTGACTTCCCCCGTTCCCTCGCTCCTCCTCTAAGATTCAACATTTGACAATTCATCCGGCCAATGAGAAGTTCCTACTCTGTATGGGAGGGAGGGACTGACTGGGTGATAGACGCCCCCATCTGGCCAATGGTGTGTCACAAGTGTGGGAGGGGGTGTAGGACGGAACCAATGGCGCTGTGCCAATAACGAGCATCAGGGAAAGGGCGGGACGAAACTGTTCAAGGGAGGGAGGGGAAGGCCCAGGGAACCAAGCAGCGTTGCCGCTGCTGCTGCACCCCGAGCTGGAGGAGGGAGAAGCCAGGAAGAAAATGGCGGCCGTAGCTGCAGAGGCGGCAGCGACTGCAGCGTCCCCCGGGGAGGGGGGCGCCGGCGAGGCCGAGCCGGAGATGGAGCCCATCCCCGGCAGCGAGGCCGGCACTGACCCCCTCCCGGTCACCGCAACGGAAGCATCTGTGCCGGACGGCGAGGCCGACGGGCAGCAGTCTTCTCCTCAGGCCGACGAGCCGCCGCTCCCGCCGCCACCGCCGCCGCCTGGGGAGCTCGCCCGCAGCCCGGAGGCGGCGGGGCCGGAGCTGGAGGCTGAGGAGAAGCTGCCTGCCCGGGTGGCGGAGCCGGCGGCAGCCGCGCCTCAGGAAAGACCCGACCTTCCACCTTCCCCTGCACCGCCGCCCGAGCAGCCCCCAGCTCCCGAGGAGCGCCAGGAATCGCCGCTGCCCCAGCCCGCAGCCCCGGCGCTCGTGCCGCCGGCGGGTGGGGACTCCGCGGTGTCGCAGCTGATTCCCGGCTCCGAGGTGCGGGTCACGCTGGACCACATCATTGAGGACGCGCTCGTCGTGTCGTTCCGTCTAGGGGAGAAGCTCTTCTCCGGGGTCCTTATGGATCTGTCCAAAAGGTACCGCGCCAGCCCCCAGCACGTCCCCGGGCCCCCTTGTCCCCAGGGAGGGAGCGAGCCAGGACGGCCCCTGCACCCGGGGCTCCCGCCGCCTGCACGCCCTCGGGTCCCGTGCGGCGCGGGGCGCGCTCTTCTCGTGGGGGCAGGCGCGCGAGGCCGGGAGAGGGCGGTCTCCGCCCCAGGTGCGCGCCTGTGAGGGCAGGTGTTACCAGGTGTGGGGCGCGGGTACCTGACCCGCTGGCGGAGCGCAGCCCACACCCCCGGGCTCTTTCCGCGACCTGGCCCTGGAGCACCCACTCCGGTGGCCTGGTGGGTTAATGCAGAATGCAGGAGTTTTGCCGAGAACCTGGTACTGGGCGGGGGACACTGCTTGCTCGCGAGGCACTTTTTTTTTCTTGAATTCACCTTTAGCGAGGTTGGAGAAAGAGGTGTGTGCATTTGGGTTCCCAAAAGGTTAACTGTCACTCCTTATGGGGGAAGAGTATTTGTTAGAAGTGAACCTCTTAACTGTTACTGTTAGCACTAATTACTCTTAGGTGACTGCTGTAGGGAAGCACAGTTGGCTAATTAAAATGATAGTTTTAAGATTTTCTTACCCTTTAGTATTAGGATGATGTGATACAGGAATGTTCAAATATTGATTACTGGTACTGTAGATACAGTTTATGTATTAAGGGCAAGAAGGTGGAATTCACCCCCAAGCCTTTGGCTTAGCACATTTTCATCTTTGATTTAAAATGTTTGTGGGCATTGCTTTAAATGGGTAAAAAAAGGTGTTCTAAGTCTAGAGTTAAGTTAACCTTTTTATTCTCTTCTTTTGCAGATATGAAGTGCAGAGACTCCCATTCACGGCTCTCCATTCTGTTTCCTGCAACAGCACACACTCTGATGGGTATCTCACCTGTTTGGAAACAGCTTACTTTAATATGTTTTATTTTTTATTTTATTTTAAAAACTTTATTTATTTGAGAGAGAATGCGAGCATGAGCAGGGAGAGGGGCAGAGGGATAAGTAGACTCCCCTCCAAGCAGGGAGGCTAGGGATGGGATCCATCCCAGATCCCTGAGATCAAGACCTGAGCCGAAGGCAGACGCTTAAGCACTGAGCCACCCAGATGCCCAGTATATTTTATTTTTTAACTCTTGTCATCGCATAAAGACACCGTCGTCTTTTTCACATTTGGGGGGAAAAATTTGAAATACATATGGGAGGCAGTTACAGGGCAGGAGAGACCATGAAAAAAATAAATACAAGTTGAATTAAGATGTTTGGGCAGGGAAATGATGGGAGACTTTATAATTTTTTTTTTTTTTAAGATTTTATTTATATGAGAGAGAGTGGGGTTGGGTGAAGGGACAGAGGAAGAGAAGACTATCCACGGAGACTCCTAGTGGGGAGGTGTGTCTTCCCCGCTCCCCCCACAGCAGGGCTTGATCTCAGGACCCATGAGATCATGAAATCCAGAGTGGATGCTTAAGCGACTGAGCTTTCCAGGCGCCCCACTTCTTTAATTTTTTTTTTTTTTTTTTTAATTTTAGAGCAAGTGTGAAGTGGGGGAGAAGGTCAGAAGGAGAGAATCTTAAGCAGACTCCCCGCTGAGTGTGGAGCCCTATAATGGCTCCATCTCATGACCCATGATAGCTGAAACCAAGAGTCCTTCCCTTAACCGACAGAGCTAGCCAGGCACCTCTATAATTACTAATGAAATTGTTCAACTCCAGAAATTTTTTGTTTTTCTTCTTTTTTTGAGAATTTTGGATCAGGACCTTTGCACTTATGTTTTCATAGTTAGAAAGCAGAATAAGACCAGTGTGCTTTCTACTGATGTATTTAATAGCGAAGGAGAGAGAGACTCAGTAGTGTGTATGCTATTGAATCAAACAGAAGTGAAGGCCAGTGATTGTGTGAGAATCTGGATTTCAAATCTGCAAAAGGAAGGTGAAAAAAGGTAAGTTGTTCCTGGAAATGGAATGGATAGTTCTTTCCTCTGTTGAGGTGCTCATTGTGTTGGTGTTTTATTTTTTTTTAAAGTTTCTTTAATAAATTGCAGTTTATTTTTTGAGTTTTGTTCTGCTTTGCTAACTGTGCTGCTTATAGTTGAAAATTTCTTAGGTGGAGGGAGCTTTTTTTTTTTATTATGAACCTTTTGCATTTTAATGTTTTGAAGTGAAGGGTCTCTGTCATTAAAGTCTTTTTAAAATGGTTGTTAAGGAAACCTTATCAACTTTTCATTCAACAGTATTGAGCACATCTGTGTGTAAGGCACCTTCCTAGTATTTTAAATGTTATGAGTTATAGTCCCTGCAGCTGGAAGCTTATATTTGGGAGGTAACAATAGTGGAATTGGTGAAGAAACAACACACAAAGGTGTTTTTAAAATTAGCATTTGAAGGAATTATTTTTGGGCTAATGATGACTAGTTGGTTATCTCTTTTTCGTACTACAGTTTGGAAGAACAGATCTACCCATATATTTTGTAATCTGCCATTTACCTTCATTGTGTACTTGATGTGCAGTTTTGGGGTTAAATGATGATCCAGGAGATCCTCTTTATAGATTCTGCCATGACTTTAGTAATCAGCTAAAAACCGTTTTTATCCTATATAAATTGGCCATTTAATGAAACCTTTGGGTAAAAATAACAAGAGCTTCCTATTATGTACCAGACATTGTACCACTTGCTTTAGTCTTTATAACCGTGGTGATATTTTTCATTTATATAGGAGGAAATTGAGGTTCATTTAAATCGGCCAGTTATTGAGCTTATAAATGGCAAAGTAAGGATTCAGATGTAGGTTGATCTGATTCTAAAGCTTATACTTCTTCTCCTTTCTTTTTTTTTTCCCTTTTGGATTTATTTATTTATTTATTTGACAGACAGAGATCACAAGTAGGCAGAGAGGCAGACAGAGAGCGAGAAGCAGGCTCCCTGCAGAGCAGAGAGCCCGATGTGGGGCTCTATCCCAGGACCCTGAGATCATGACCCGAGCTGAAGGCAGAAGGCTTAATCCACTGAGCCACCCAGGCGCTCCCCTTTTCTCCTTTCATATTAGAAAGTTGGGCTGGCAGATTTTCCTTTAAACAGTAAAAAAATTGCGTATTTCTGAAATTTAGTGCCTATTCTGACTTCAGTAGCTGTATGGGATAATACAAAGGGTATGAGTATTGGAACCAAGCAGATTCTTTAGTCAGGTAATAGCCGTGAGACCGTCTGCTCTGCAGAGTCCCCATTTCCTGAGCTGTATATTGCAGAACACATAGCAGCGTCTGAAGTCCTGGTTCTTGCCTATTCAGTGAGGAACCCAGAAGAGAACTAACATTTGGGAGACTAAGTGCCTCCGTGTATGTGTATGGTTGTTTTTAGTCTTAAGGAAAAGGGCCAGTTACTGCTTTTTTTTTTGATTATTTTATTCTGACATTATCCGTGGTACAGAAATGTCTTTTAAAGTTGGAAGAGTTGTTCACTATGTAGAAAAAAGTGTTTATAAGGGTATGTGTGTATGTTTGTGTGTGTGTATATATATATATGTATATATATATATATAGGTTGACCTATAAAAATATACGGCTTTGTAAGCATTTGCCATTCTTCACCTTCCTGCCATTGTATTATTTTTTGCCTTATTTTTAGTTATTTGATTGAAGAACACATTTTTGAGGAGATTCTTTTCGTGGAAAAAAGAAACAGGACATATGTAATTAAAAAAAAAAAAAAGAGGTGGTAGTACTACTTATTAAATAGTTGGGGTCTGAATTCTAGTGCCAGGCTCTCCAGTTGATACTGTGACTTTGGGCAAATCTCTTTGCCTCTTTTGGGCTCCAGTCTCTCTAGTTCTTATGGGGTGAATTCATTTGACTTTAGGCGGTTCACAAACCCAAACAATCAATCAAACTTCATTCCTCAGTTTGTTTATAGAAAGTGAATAGGGTGACCAGGTGGTCTGGTTTTCCTGTACCATCCCAGTTTGATTGTTATTCCTTATGCCTTCAAAGCAGCTTGCTTTGGCTACTGTACAAATGATATGGTCACCCTAAAAATGAAGGTACTTGAATATCTGATTAAAAACTGATTTTATAGGATTTATTTGAAAATGAAAACCCTTTGAGGCATTCTTTATTTAAAAAAATTTTTTTTGGAAGATCTTATTTTCTTGAGAGCACAAAGGAAGAGGAAGAAGCAGACTCCTTGCTGAGTGGGGAGCCTGATGAGGGGCTAGATCCCAGGACCCTGAGATCATGACCTGAGCCAAAGGCAGATGCTTAACTGACTGAGCCACTTCATTTTTTTAGTTTATTCTGGGCTCCTCCACTGGTGTTTTATACCCAGCTCTCTTAAGGTAGTTAGTTTGAATTACCTGCCTACTCCTGAACTCAGTAGCAACACGTAATGATAATATCTAATACAAGCAGATAAAAATAATCAACTCACCCACAAATTCAGTTTGGTTTTCTCACTCCCTTTTCTTCCTTAACCTTAGGCTTTGAAATTTTGACATAAGCACATTTGTTTCTTTTAGCATTCTATAATAAGCATTCCTTCATGTTATTGTAAACCAGTGGTTGGTACCATGATTTTTTTGTTTTTTTATTATGGGAAATGAACCTCCATGTATGTATGTATGATCCTTGCTTTGACATTTATCAACTATTAGTCGTTCTTGTTTCATCATATGCCCTCCTCCACTGGATAATTTTGAAGCAAATCCTAAATACATTCTTCACCATAAGAATTGTGGTATAGAGCTCTGAAGAAATAAGGATTTTAAAGCCATAATGTACTTCTTTTATTGCAACTAAAGTAACAACAGCAGTTCCTTTTTGTCATCCTATGGCCTGCCAGTCAGTGTTAAAATTTCACAGTATCTCAGAATTAACATTTCAATCAACATCTAAGTTTTAAATTAGGATCCAAGTAAAGTTTATACATTGCAATTGGTTGATGAGTTTCATAAATTTTTCATTTGTAGTTCTCTTGCCATTTTGTTTATTTCCTTGAAGTTTGTTAAGCCATAGACTTTGGCAGAATTTCCCACATTTTAGATTTTTTTTTTCAATTATATCCCATTGGTTGAATTTCCGTAAGTTTTAAAAATAGTTCTTTTCCTTTAGGAGCAAACTGGAGGGGCAACAACCACAGCCCTCTGAGGGCCTCTTTTTTGAAAACCTCTCATCTCTTATTTTGGGTTAGTAGAAATAATAGAACATCTTTTGCCTGCTCTAGATCTATTCCTTAAACACATCTACATGTGTTCAATGTGTTCCTTAATGTGTTCCTAATGTGTTCCTTAAACACTATCTACTCTAGATCTATTCCTTAAACACACATCCAACTTTAATAATTCCAAATATAGAAAAATTTTAACCAGTCAAGATTATCTGCGAAGGGTAAAAGTCTTCAGCCCTAGTTTCTGACAACGTAGTGTCCGCTTTCTCAGTCCATACCTAAGGAACAGTATTTACTGGGACCTATGGTTTCTAACTACACAGAACGATCATTTCAACTGTTTAGTCCTGTTCTACAATATCTTGAAAAGTAGTTCTAAAGCCACTTAGAAATCCTGAAAAATTTCTCTTGAATTCCATTTTTTTTGTATTTGATATGAATTGAGGAGTCATGAAGTAAATGTTTATGCATAAAAACTTGTGAATTTTAATTTGTGGTACTTGTTTATTAAAGGTTGTAGCTAGTTCTATTTCAGAATTGACCTTTTTCAAATACTTTTTGTGTGTGTCTAAAGAGAATTGAGGTGATTTCTTTAAAAAACTTTAGGTTTCACTAAGTTTGTAAAACAATTTGTAGAAAAGTTACTTGTTTTTTTAAGAAAATATAAACCAAGACAATGATTTTTTTTCTTTACAGAGACCATGAAACGTATGGTGCAATAGCTCTAC